TTTTTTTTAATGTTTTATTTATTTTTGAGAAAGAGACAAAGCATGAGCAGGGGAGGGGCAGAGAGAGAGGGAGACACAGAATCCGAAGCAGGCTCCAGGCTCCGAGCCGTCAGCTCAGAGCCCGACGCGGGGCTCAAACCCACAGACCGCGAGATCACGACCTGAGCCGAAGTCGGACGCTTAACCGGCCGAGCCACCCAGGCGCCCCAAGTCTGAACTATTCTAAAATAAAAGGCTTATTTTTAAAGAGTAAATCTCTAGGGCTTGAGTCCTGTCTCTCAGAGTCCCTGGGTGAAGACCCATGGTATTAAATGTAATGCGCACATGTGCTGGGGCCTAATGCCACCCCCCAGCCTGGCAGAGCTTTCTGGCAGCTGAGCTCCAAGGGGGGTCACGTTACGGCCCAAATAGCCCTCCCACCGGTGTCTTTTATTTTGAGGGAGAAATCTTGGCGTTTGAGATGCTTATAATGTGAGATGCAGGCACTTTGTGCTGTTCGGTCGGTGATGGAGCTCTTGGGCATGTGCTTACTGGGAGCTGTGACCAGGCAGGTCTGCTCTGGTGGACGCTTCCCCGGCCCAGTTACTGGCAGGGGCTGAGCCCCCCTTACTAGGCCCCCATAGCCATGCCGAGGGTCCTGAGCCCCCCCTTACTAGGCACCCCCCCCATCACCACACCCAGTTATCAGCAGGGTCCTGAGCCCCCACCCCTTATAAGGCCCGCCCATCATCGGGCTCAGTTATCGGCAGAGCCCCCCTTACAAGGCCCGCCCATCACCGCCTCGGAGGGTGAAGGTCAGCCTTGGGTGTGGCTCCAAACTTGGCTCAAGTTGTGTTTTTTTTTTTCAGTCTTCAAATATTTACGCAAGTGTTTTATTGCCTTAAAAACAAAGCCACTGAAATAAAACAGAACTGATAATCCAAGGGACTGGAGTTCTTGTAGCATCCTCTAGGGGTCCCTAAGGCCCGCCAGGGCCAGTCCACCAAGGCCCCAAGTCCTCCAGGTTCTTAGGCCACCTCTCAGATCACCGTGTTTTCTCGTCCTCCCTTTCTTTCGTCATGTTGGTTCCAGCTGCTTATAGCGATGGTGACATACACATCCCATTCCGGGATCACACTCCGGGCTGTCTGTCTTTGCGGTCCTTCAGCAGTAACACGCTGAAGGCCGGACCGTTCTGTGTCCAGCCACGTCATGGTTTCTCAGGGTCCCTCAGGTGCTGGGAGGGGCCGGGCCCCGAGCCCTGACCCTCAGGGGTGCCCGGAAGTCTGACTTCCGCTGGCTTCCCCTGCAGGTTATTCCCAAGGACTACAAGACCATGACCGCGCTGGCCAAGGCCATCTCCAAGAACGTGCTGTTTGCTCACCTGGACGACAATGAGAGAAGGTAGGAACCTGGGAGGGGCGGGGCTGGGATTGACACCCCTCCAGGGAGGCCTTGCTGGTCACCACCAGCCCTGAACCCCAGGGACCCGGTCACAGAGCACACTTTTGGAAGCATGTGCTCACAGAACATGGGCGGCTTCCAGAAATAATGTGCTCTGTGCACCTGCTGTCCTTCTGCATACCAGGTTAGGATCTGCGGGTTCCATGTGACTTTGTCGTCAAGAGACACTGTGGGTCTCCTCGCTCTGACCACTGGGGGCCTAGTCTTCCAGCAACTTCTACAAGGATCTGCCTTGTTGGGCTGAGCTCACTGCCTGGTGGGGAGATGGGACTGGCAGGCAGGGTTCGGGGGTCCAGGAACGTGACTGACCAGGTGCTGATGTCAGTCACATGGTCTAGAAGGGCCGCAGGAATGGCCGTGGGTGGGGTCTGTCCAGGGACGGGCACCCGGCAGCTGTGACGGACTGGGTGCCATGCTTGGGAATTAAGGTCCTACACATAGTTGGGAAAATCGGACTGGGAGCGTTTTGGGGTGATCCTTGAGGGTTTACTTGAAGTGTGCACTCTAATTCCGTGTTGTCACAAAATGGGATCACATTCCACGAGTTTGTCATGCTTACGAGGTCACGGACATCCCTCTTTGTCAGTAAAGCCTTTTTCAGGGCTCATTGTATGGATTTCTGTGGAGTTGCTATAACTTCCTTCTCCTCTGTGTCTGTTTCTTCCTTCGAGCTAAGCTCCTCGGGGTAGATGAAAGGCTGTGCAGTGTTTTAATTCTCTTTTTTTTCCATTTTTGGTGCATTATGTTTTTTGGTCGATAACCTAGTGTTCTGATGACAGTTCTATACAGAATCTAAACAACACGCACACCCACAAAATAAGAAGAGAACGTCCTCTCGCAGCCTCATTCTGTGACGCTCGTGGGTCCTTCCGCGTGAGCGTCTGGGATGGTTAACATCTGCTGAGCGCCGCACCGTGCGGGGAGAGAGAGGGTCATTGGGAGGCTTGCGGTTCTTGGATGCCATCGTGCCCCGGTGGACAGGAAGGAGAGGTGTTTACGCAGGATGGGCCCCCCACAGAGGAGCTGGGCCAGAGAGATGGGGCGTAGGGTCTCCGTAGGTGCCGGTGCGTTTTCCAGGGCTTTTGGCAACACGGCACAGGCTGGTCACCCAGGAAGGCCGCAGGGAAGGCCTGCCCATGCCTTGGGCGCTCCCGGAGTCTCCGAGGTGAGGCCTGGCTGGCGCCGTGTCCCGGGAGTGTCTCGGGGGCATTTGAGATGTCCACCCGTCAGAAGCACGTGGGGGCGTGACGGGCAGGGCGGGAGGCCAGTTCTCCACGTGGGCCCCCCAGCTGGGCTCACGCCCCAGGAGGGTTTTGACACGGAGAGGTGGTCTGGGATTCACCCTCCACAGGCCCTAAATACAGGCTTGTGTCCTTGCAAGAGGGGAGCATGGGGGGGATTGCTCCGAAGAGAAGCCCTGTGACTGCTGCTGCTGCTGATTCTGGGCTCCTGGCCTCGAGAACTGGAGACAGTCCCCTGTTCTCAGCCTTCGTGGAGGTGTCCACCTGGCAGGTAGGTCCTCGGTCACCAGGTGGGACCAGATGACTCCGAGTTGTAGCTTTATTAACTTGAATGTAAACATCAAGAACTCAGTCCAGATTTAAACCCGGGCTCTGACTGGATGGTGCGTTCACACGGGTCGAAATTCAGAAGGTGCCAGGGGTCCAGAGTGAAAGGTGAGCCGTCTGGAGATGGCCCCAGGACCCTGGCTCGTCTCTGTGGACAGACTCCGCACCCTCAGGCAGAAGGTCAGACGTTCCCCACAGCGGCCACATAGACCACCGTCCATTCTTTTTTTTAAAAAAAAATTTTTTTAACGTTTGTTTATTTTTGAGACAGAGAGAGTCAGAGCATGAACGGGGCAGGGTCAGAGAGAGAGGGAGACACAGAATCGGAAGCAGGCTCCAGGCTCTGAGATATCAGCACAGAGCCGGACGCGGGGCTCGAACTCACGGACTGCGAGATCGTGACCTGAGCGGAAGTCGGACGCTTAACCCACTGAGCCACCCACGCGCCCCCACCATCCATTCTTTACCCGGTTTCAGCCCTTAGGGAAGGGATGGACCGTGCCTGGGTCCATCGGGGTCCTGGCACTTTGCGGCCAGCTCGGGGGAGGAGGCGCCGCTCTGGGTAGAGAAGACGCTGTGGGCACGGAGCTGCCGGGCGGTGCGGGGCGGACCTCGATGCCGGAGCCCGGCCGGCGTGTGCCCCTGACCTGTATGCTGCAGCCGTTGGCCCCGTCGTCACCGGGTCGGGCCCGTCCCCGAGTGTGGGGCGGGAGTTCTGGGGCGCCGTGATTTGGGCTGTCCTCCAAAACCCAGCTCACACGGAAGGTTGGTTTTGTTCTCTGGGCCTCTGGGCCTCGGTGTCCGGGTCTGGTCCGCATTAAGCCCCTGTGGGAACGGCCGCGGCCGCGGTGGCGGTGACGGCCACCCCCAGGAGCTTCTCCTTGCTAGTGTGTTTCCGGACGCAAGAGCAGCGCGGGCCTGGCGCCTTCGTGACCGGTGGTGGGTGGGGCTGAGGGTGGTGGGTGGGGCTGAGGGCGTGGCATCCCCGGGCCGCGTGAGGGTGACAGCAGGAGGTAACGGTGTGAGCAGCGTGCCCTGGCTGCCGCCGAAGTCGACTTCATCTGAGCGCGGGCACCCAGCTGTCACCCGTCGTTCGGCCCCTGACCTGATAAAGTTGTCGGTGAAAGAGGCGAACAGACGGAGGTCACCCCGAGTTTGTGTGTCCGGCTCCACGGAGGTCAGGGCGCGATTGCAGAGCGTGTGCTGGGCTGCGCGCAGGTGCTGGGGGCGGCGGAGCAGAGGACGAGGTCCTGCCTCGCGGGGCCGGCCTCCCCCGAAGTGTCCGTCAAGGGAACGCAGACGCCCGCAAGTTTGGAGGCTGTGCTGCGACGGTCGTCCGGGGAGGCCCCAACGTGTAGCATGGGGTGACTGTCCCCAGGTAGGGCGCAGCCGGGCGGAGGAGGTCTGGGGCAGGAAAGCTCGGTTGTGGCGGCCCAGACCGGCCGGGTGCCCCCTGTGCTCCGGACACTGCCGTGCTGGCGTCACAGGGCACAGAGGGGTGCTTGGCGTGTGGCCGGAATCTCGGGACTGTCCCAGGACTCACGGGATCGTCCCCTCCCAGGGATCCTCCCAGAACACTCGCCTGGCCTGGCCTGGCCGAGGCAGGGAGGCTGCAGACGGGCTCCCGCGAGGCCGAGGTGCGGTCTCGTCAACGGCACCCACCTGACCTCCCCCAAGTGCGGCTTCACAGATCCCCGGAACAGTCACACCGCATCTGTCCTCTTGTGTCGGCTCGCACCCTCGGGGTGCCCCGGGTCAGTCCTCATTTCTTTCTGAGGGTGGGGGTTCTCACCGTTGCAGGGGGGGCACCATGTGTTTATCTGCTTCTCCGCTGACAGACGCTGGGGCTGCTCCCACCTCTTGGTAGTCGAGCAAAATGCTCCCGTGAACACGGGCGTCTGGGTCTTTTGGTTGCAAACTCAGAGGTGGCTCGCGGGGCAGATAGTCCTTCCCTGTGTAACTTTGTGAGGAGCCCCACACTCAGCTTCCCTTCTGGCCCCACGGAGCTTCAAGTCCCCCCTTCTGTGGAGCCCGGGTGCCCCTTGGGGGGCACTTGTGTTCAAGCCACGCCCTCCACACCCTTTGGTGGCTCCTTCCCCGCTCCCAGGCACTGGCTGGCCGGGGGCCTGTGTGGCCCGAGGACGCCTTGATCCAAGTGGTGTCTCTGGCCACGTGTGTCCAGGAAATGTCTGTGCCGGGGTCCTGTGCCCTTGGCCCTGACTTTCCAGACTCGTGCAGTTCCTACCGCCTCGGACTTTTCCAGATCTGGGAGCCAGGTGGACAAAAGTGCAGGAAGCAGATGGTTGGATTGAAAATTCCTCTTTGCGAGGCTGGCTTAGGAAGAGAGCTTTCTGTCAGGGGGTGTGTCTGTGGTTCAGATCTTTGTTTTGCCCTCAGGAAAACTCACTTTCCATATTGAAACCCTGGGGGGGCTCCTCTTTCTGGCCTCTGAAGGAACAGGCTGACGGTTCAGGAAGTGGCCTCCGGGGGAGCTGGCGGCCAGAGACTCGTCTCTTGACCTTTCCCTTGATGTCCCCTGTGTGACATGCAAATACTTGGCTTTTTCCAGTTCAGGAGAAGGCGGGCTCAGCAGCTTGGGCTGTGGTTTGGGGCCCATTCTTTCCAGATGCGCGTCCGACTCAGAGGCTGCCTCCCGCGTGAATCCCCAGGGGTGAATCCGCTGGGGGCGAGCGCACCTTTGTGCTGAAAGACCCGCCCCCAGCTCAGGTGTGAGACCAGTAACTCTGTGGTCACGGGCTGGGTGGTTTTGCCCTTGTCGGTTAACCACGGCATATGTCCTTCAGTCTGTGTGCAGATACTTGTGCCTGCGAAGACGTGACCATTTTGTTCAAAATCTTTTCTTGAAAAGAAGGTGATGCCACATAGCCATGGGGGAAGGGTCCTAACCCCCAAACCGCCACCTGTCTCCTAGGAGAGAGCGTCCATCGAAGGCTCTCTCTGGGCCCCTGCCTCGGGTACCCCCTCCGTGCATAAAAAGGGGGTGTCTTTTGACCAGGGCCCCACACTCGTCACGGCAGAGCCAGGACTCCTGAGTCTTGGGGGCTCCGAGGCCATGCTCCCCCTCCCTCACTCCTCTGACGACAGGTCACATACACCTGCAGGAGGAAGGAACACTGGAGGGTGGGTGATCTAGACGTGGTCATTGGGGGGGTCCGCAGGTATCCTGGGTGAACTGGAAGTGGGGGATCTGGGGAGCCAGAGGGAGGACCAGAAGACCCCTGAACACGGTGGCAGCTCAGAGATTTCTTAAGCACATACACACCTCGACTCACACACGTGTACAGACACAGGCATACTCACACATGCACACATGCACATGTTCACGCTGCAGAATCCCATGTGTGTTAAAAT